AATCTGTATGGTTCAGCATTCATTTCATATAATGTGCATGGTCTTCTTCATCTCACAAATGACGTGAGGCAATTAGGTCCTCTTGATTCATTTTCTGCTTTTCCTTATGAACATAATATGCCACTTTTCAGAAAATATTGTAGAAAATCTAATTTTCCTTTTCAACAATTTTTCAATAGAATATCAGAGATGGAAGCTTGTGAAACAAATTTGCATTGTAGTCAAACTTATTTTTCCAAACTCACTGATTCTTCTACGCAAGTATTTTCAGCGCATAATAAAGGTCCTCTTCCGCCTAATATTAATCAAAACAACTGTCAGTATCGGAAATTGATATTCAACAGAATTTTGCTGAGTTTGGATACACGAGATAATTGCTGTATTTTACATGACGGATCAATTTGCCTCATTGTCAATATCTTCATGGACAAAACCAAATATTATCTGGTTGTAAAAAAATTTCAAAAGGTTTCATTTTATGATATTGGCATTTTGTCCTCAGCACTTCAAATTTTTAAGTGTTCTGCAATAAGTAGTGACATTTTTTGTATCCAAATAAATGAGGTACGCTTTAAATGTTATAAAATGCTTTATTGGAGTGGTTCATCAATAGGTAACAGTAGTAGTGATGAAAATGAGTCAAAAGTTAGCAATGAGTATGTAGTTAGTGCAATTGTACATACAGATGATCTGTAAAAAAATAAAAACGTTTATAGCTGTTCCCTTAGATATAATTTACAGGAAGAAGAACAATCTTCAGGATGACTAACAGAATACAGGTTAGTATAATTGAGTCATATAATTTTCACTCAGTTTAATTATAATGGCAATAATAACTGAATTTTTCAAATATTTTAGATGCTCTCTATATTTCTGCGCTTAAAGAAAATAAAAACAGGAATCATACTTAAAACAAATACAAATGTAATTACGTAAGTTATATGATTATTCATTTGCTTTTTCTGTCGTTTAATTTGCTATTTTCTGATATTCTTGCATAAAATAATATATAATTTTTTAATTTTTTCTAGGAACTGTTTTGTATGTATTGATTTTCTTTAATGCTCTATATATGCTCCAACTACTGGTAACTTCTGATTTCCTTTGAGAATAATATTTAAATATATATATATATATATATATATATATATATATATATATATATATATATATATATATATATATAGGGTGGGCCATTTTAAAAATTACGATCAATTTTCTCGTAAACTAAGCAAAATATCGAAAAATGGTTCAGACATGTGTTGTATGGTTTTAAAGGGGCTATAAGATGGTGCCATTAGTTTGACCTTGGATATTCATTTGAAGATTACGCGAAGGTCACCTCAATTTTTTTAAATGGCACCCCCTATTTTTTGTTACATATTCTTGTAGCTGACCTCGAGAGCTTTCCAAAATACTATAGTCAAATATATATATATATATAATATATATTATATAAATATATATTATATAATATATATATATATTTTGTATTTTTATCAAAATGTAGTAACTTTTGAGCTCTATAACTCGAAAAGTACGCAATGGAAAAACATTTGACTATAGTATTTTGGAAAGCTCTCGAGGTCAGCTATAAGAATATGTAATAAAAAATAGGGGGTGCCATTTAAAAAAATTATATATATAAATATTATATAAAATTATATAAAAATTATATTATAAAAAATAGGGGGTGCCATTTAAAAAATTATATATATAAATATTATATAAAATTATATAAAAATTATATTATAAAAAATAGGGGGTGCCATTTAAAAAAATTATATATAAATATTATATAAAATTATATAAAATTATATTATATATATATATATATATAATATATATATTTCTTAAAATATTCATTTTCCGATAGTCTTATTTTACATGCTCCGACTAATCAGGGCAAAGTCCAAGCATGATTCAGCTAGTCAAGACAAGATCCGGATACGATCCAGCCAGTCAAAACAAGATACGAACACGATCCATCCAGTAAAGGCAAGATACGAACACGATCCAGCCAGTCAAGACAAGATACGAACACGGATCCAGCCAGTCAAGGCAAGATCTGAACACGATCCAGCCAGTCAAGGCAAGATACGAACATGATCCAGCCAGTCAAGGCAAGATACGAACATGATCCAGCCAGTCAAAACAAGATCGTTGATGGTTCTGTCAACTAAAGTAATATCGAGAAGAATCCTGCCATCGAAGGCAAAATCGAGAATAATCCAGTCAAAAAAAATTTATCGAATCAATTGTTCGAAGTTGTCTCCATTGACTTGGATACATAATGCCAACCTATCTTGGAAATGTCTTACTGTCTTGAGTAACATATCGCGCGTTATCCTTCTGCAAGCTTCTCGTATCCTTTCTATCATATTTTCTCTTGTTGTAGGCGTTTGCTCGTACGCGACATTTTTTAGGTATCCCCATAAGAAAAAGTCGGGCGACGTCAGATCAGCAGATCGTAATAATCTTACAGGGACATAGAGGAATACGATAATAATGCACAAAAGGTTATTATACTTACTAAAGGAAAAATTTGTATACAAATTATCAATTGTATCCCTTCATTATCGCTCAAGGATTTTACAACTACGGAAAAAATAATGCCAGACTATTCACCCTCGGAGATCATTGATTTTATTCTCATTCTTGGAAAATGTCATTTAAATTATCACGAAGCTTTGCGAGTTTACCGAGATCGGTATCCTGAAAGGGAAGGACACTCCAATCCTGCTTTAATCTGAAACCTCGAACGAAGTGCTCGTGAAGATCATCTCAAACGTAAAAGGAAAGATCATGTGTATGATGAAAACGACAATCGTGTGGTCACGCTCCTGGCAGCAATTCATCTTAATCCTCATGTAAGTCAGCGGATTTTAGCAAGGGAACTAAGTATTCCAAGATCAACAATTAGGAGGATTATAAAGAAACTTAAATACCATCCTTATCACATAACTATGACACAAGCTATGAGTCAAAGAGATATGCAATTGCGTATCCAATTTTGTCAATGGGCACAACAAATGATCAGAGCTGAACCAAATTTTTTAAATTTTGTCATGTTTTCTGATGAGTCGACATTTAAAAATAATGATGAGCTAAATAGGCATAATTGTCATTATTGGTCAGATGTTAATCCCCATTGGCATAGACCAATAGATAATCAGAATCATTGGAGTGTTAATGTTTGGTGCGGGATTGTGAATGGGTATTTGATTGGTCCCTATTTCTTTGACGGAAATGTCAACGTGGAAAACTTTTTGGCATTTCTTAGAGATGACTTACCATAATTATTTGAAAACGTTGACCTGCAAACACGTCAGAGGTTATGGCTACAACTCGATGGCGCACCACCTCACTATACAAGATGTGTGAGAGATTACCTGAATGAAACGTATAATGGCAGATGGATTGGACGAGATGCACCCGTCGCGTGGCCTCCACGATCTTCTGATCTGACGTCGCCCAACTTTTTCTTATGGGGATATCTGAAAAATGTCGTGTACGAGCAAACGCCTACAACGAGAGAAAATATGATAGAAGGGATACGAGAAGCTTGCAGAAGGATAACGCGCGATATGTTACTCAAGACAGTAAGACATTTCCAAGATAGGTTGGCATTATGTATCCAAGCCAATGGAGACAACTTCGAACAATTGATTCGATAAATTTTTTTTGACTGGATCATTCTCGATTTTGCCTTCGGTGGCAGGATTCTTCTTGATCTTACTTTAGTTGACAGAACCATCAACGATCTTGCTTTGACTAGCTGGATCATGTTCGTATCTTGCCTTGACTGGCTGGATCGTGTCCGGATCTTACCTTGACTGGTTGGATCTGTGTTTGTATCTTGTCTTGACTGGCTGGATCGTGTTCGTATCTTGCCTTTACTGGGTGGATCGTGTTCGTATCTTGCCTTGACTGGCTGGATCGTGTTCGTATCTTGCCTTTACTGGATGGATCGTCTCCAGATCTTGCCTTGACTGGCTGGATCCGTGTTCGTCTCTTGCCTTGACTGGCTGGATCGTGTTCGTATCTTGCCTTTACTGGATGGATCGTGTTCGTAACTTGCCTTGACTGGCTGGATCGTGTTCGTACCTTGCCTTGACTGGCTGGATCGTGTCCGGATCTTACCTTGACTGGCTGGATCCGTGTTCGTATCTTGCCTTGACTGGCTAGATCGTGTCCGGATCTTACCTTGACTGGCTGGATCCGTGTTCGTATCTTGTCTTGACTGGCTGGATCGCGTCCGGATCTTGTCTTGACTAGCTGGATCATGCTTGGACTTTGCTCTGATTGGTCGGAGCATGTAAAATAAGACTATTGGAAAATGAATATTTTAAGAAATATATATATATATATATTATAAATATAACATATATATATATATATTTTGTATTTTTATCAAAATGTAGTAAACATTTGACTATAGTGTTTTGGAAAGCTCTCGAGGTCAGCTACAAGAATATGTAATAAAAATAGGGGGTGCCATTTAAAAAAATTGAGGTGACCTTCGCGTGATCTTCAAATGAATATTTAAGGTCAAACCAATGGCACCATCTTATAGCCCCTTTGAAATCATACAACACATGTTTGAACCATTTTTCGATATTTCGCTTAGTTTACGAGAAAATTGATCGTATATATATATATATATATATATATATATATATATATGGAATTAATAATAAGTACTTTCTATTTTTAGTGACACAAGTCGATACAAATCTAAGGTCTGTTTTTTTAGCTGCACTAGTTCAGAGTTTATCTTTTCCTTTCCAATGTGGAGTAAAAAAATAAACTTTGAACTGGTGCAGCTAAAAAGAACAGACCTTAGATTTGTGTCATTGAATGGCAAGCACCCAAAAAAGTGAAATAAAAAAGTACATATACAGGGTGGGCCATTTTAAAAAATACGATCAATTTTATATATATATATGTATATATATATATATATATATATATATATATATATATTTACAGAAAGGATCATGGAGAATCGTCCCAAACGGAATATCATCAAACCGCTACGATTTCAAACGACATCTTCGGACGAGGCGGAAGATTCAGGAAGAAAGACGACGGAGCTACAGGGCACTCAATTAGAAAAGGATGTTGCTGAGTTACGGGGAGTATTAGAAGAGAGTCATTCGCCCGGTACTAATATGCATGCTAATCATTCACTCACTAACTCACAATCATTTACAGAGTCACTCACACAACACAAACACCTTTTATGCATGAAAACACAGTCATCATTCTACGCACAACCATCAACAGTCACTCACACAACACAAGCACCTTTTATGCATGAAAACACACAGTCATCATCTTACACACAACCATCAACAGTTACTCACACAACACAAGCATCTTTTATGCATGAAAACACACAGTCATCATCCTACGCACAATCATCAGCAGTCACTCACACAACACAAGCACCTTTGATACATGAAAACACACAGTTATCATCCTACGCACAACCATCAACAGTCACTCACACAACACAAGCATCTTTGATACATGAAAACACACAGTCATCATCCTACGCACAACCATCAACAGTCACTCACACAACACAAGCACCTTTTATGCATGAAAACACACAGTCATCATCCTACGCACAACCATCAACAGTCACTCACACAACACAAGCACCTTTTATGCATAAAAACACACAGTCATCATTCTACGCACAACCATCAGCAGTCACTCACACAACACAAGCACCTTTGATACATGAAAACACACAGTCATCATCCTACGCACAACCATCAACAGTCACTCACACAACACAAGCACCTTTGATACATGAAAACACACAGTCATCATCCTACGCACAATTATCAACAGTCACTCACACAACACAAGCACCTTTTATGCATGAAAACACACAGTCATCATCTTACGCACAACAAAATTTTCATGATACAACGCAAACATTCACACACAAACCACATGCTGCTGCTACTCATACACAACACATTGATAGCCAATTAAATACACCGCATAACACTCAGTTACAGCCTTTAAACATCTGGCCAATTTTATCGTCAAGTCATCTGTCAAGCTCTTCGTTACCAAGTCAAGCTTCAAGAGAATTTTACAATTTTCATGTGAGACCGGAAATTCAGTAAGTGTACATTGAACAGAAATTTTTATAATTGGAATATATGTATGTTATAGTCATATATAGAAATATAATAATATATTTACAGAGCCATACATGGAAGAATGGATCAATTAGCTTTGGAAGTTCAGTAAGTTTTAAATGTAATATGTACATAAACAATGTCAGTCATTTTATATCCTAATATATAATATTATTATATTATTTATATGATATGCTTTTTATACAGACAAATACACCAAAAATTGGACAGAGTGTTGACGCAGATTAGCAATAACCGAAAGCATATGCCGGAGAAACCAGCATTTTTGCCATTATCATTAGTTGAAGATGTTGAAATATTTGAAACTGCTAATGATGAAGAATATATGAAATTGGTATGTAAAATACAGTTTTATGTAAAATACAGTTTTATCATTTATATATATGTTAGGATGTTTGTTTTGACAATTTATAAAATTCTTCTGGGACCCTTTTCAATTTTTTAGTCGATAAAAAGAGAAAAATTTTTATTCTTAGTAGAACATAATACGATAAGTCTAAGGGTTTCCACATAGACTTTATAAATTTCCATTTAAAATACATGAAGTTTTTTCATTAAGTTTTCTGTTGTATTTAAACGAGATCAATATTTTGTATTCTTGTAATTAAAACCTAACTATAAAATTGTATAAAACGTAACTGTATAAGACTTAATAAGCAATTCTAATTTGTTATAGTCTTTCAATTTAGATAAAATGTAAAAGTTCTTAGTTTTTCAATATTTTATTTATTTAAAGTTCTCAATAGGTTTCATGTAATTAAGTTTTACATTTACAAGAATAAAAAATATTGATCTCGTTTACATGCAACAGAAAACTTAATAAAAAAACAATGTATTTTTAATAGGAATTTAAAGTCAACGTGGGAACCCTTAAACTAGATTACTAGATGTAAATAAAAATATAAATGCAAAATATTCTTTATAGGTGAATTATTTAATTTTTATTGGTGGTCTTAATGCCAAAGAGAGTGTTAATTTGTGCTTCAAAGAGATATTTCAAGATTCTTTGATGAACTTATACACTTGGTTCGGGCGTGAGGATAATCAACGACCATTATACAGTACCCGTTTGGTGAACGCTATTTATGGTATGATATATTGTTACACATAATGCTAAAGTTGTGTTATCAATGGTACTATTTTATATTTGTTACCTTTTACAGATGCTATCTGCGAAAACAAAAATTTTGAAAGACCAATGCGGGCTGCATTTCAAACATATATGTGGGATGCTCTGCGAACGGCCAAGCAACGACACAGGAATAGAGCGCGCAACAACTTGCATCGTCCGGAAGGAAGAAATAGAAATGAACCAGCACTATGGAACGACGAACACGACGAAATGCAACCAGAAGAAAATTAGGTCAGTTATATGAAACTAAATGTATTGTTTATAATTAATTCTTTATAATAATCTTTTTCATTCCTCAATATTAAAAACTGGTCGACTGTTGTAGATTTACAGGAAAAATGCATGATGAAGAAAGAAGATCAAAATTTCAATTCTTGAGCATATACAGTGTTGTGTTACATGATTTTAAAATTAGCTAGATTAAGATGAAAATAATTTTGTTTTAAATATATATAGATAAAAGATAAAATTATATGGCAATTTATTTAGATAACTTTCAGATAATATTATTTTTAAAAGTACTTATATAAACACAGTTTAAAAAAATGTAAATTATGAGAGGGATATAAAAAATATATTTATTTTAATTTGAACGTTTTTAATGCTCAAGTTTTACTCAAGTTTTGCTATTTAAGTATTTTTATGTCTTATGACTCTGAACCAAATTATCTGAATATTCTACATAATTTAATAAAGAGATAACACTTTTTATCTAAGATGCAGATATAGATAATACATATTTTTATTATCTATAAAGATAAGATGACGCCAAAATTTCATCTAGATCATCTATATAATTTTATTTAGATAATGGCAAAGACTAAGCATATACGAACATCTTTCATACGAACAATGATTCGTAATTGAATGAATATTGTTTTAGTATACAAAAATTGTTCGTGTATGCTCAAGAATTGGAACGAAGAAGAAAATGGAAGCGGAAGAAGATGGAGTGACCCTACAGACGAAGATAAAGGGAACAAAAAGAGGGCAAAAATGAAACAATACGCACTTTTTAGCTTCAACTGGCACTTTTCATTGGCTAAACAGCATTGAAAAGTGTCACATTTTTAATCACTCACAACAGTGGAATTAATCTCGATTTGCACTAAATCGGCACTTTTCAGTGCCAGATGGAATTCACTTCGATTTACATTAAATCGACATTTTTTAATGTCACTATAGGCCTATTCTATAAGGCCTATTTTTTTAACGAAAATGTCGCTATCGTGTTGCGTATTATTGCGGATGTCAAAATACATGTATTTACAATAGGCACTTTTCGTAAACACGTTTGGGTGAGCGTGGCTTAGCTCGATAATTATTGTTCTGCCAATATCGCGAATCGGGAGAGGATCGTTAAGACGGAATAGTTATTAGGTGTTATAATTATATTCACTGCGTTTATTCGGATTATATCAAATACAGACTTTTACTCTCCACCGAGGAAAACCCTGTATCGCGAGCGCGAGTCAAAATCTATCTGCCCTTCGAGGCCGCGCATTGTCTTGCTTCTCTCGATTTTTCCACGACCTTATTTTTATTTTTAGGTGATTAGCCTATCTATTATTTTGAAGAACTTTCGCTTTTTATTCTGTTCGGAAATCACAATCTACCTTCGTCATGCTAGACGCTTATTTATTTATTTATTATTTTGTGTCACCGGTCGCGATATCCTTAACTCTCGTCGCTTGTCATATATTTTTATTTCGTGTAAATTTTATTTTCTATATATTTTAATATGCTTGTGGCATTTATCGCCACACACGTAATTCGAAAGTATTTGATCGACTAATCAGGATTAAAGAATCTTTGTCCTTATTGGTTTATGGAGATGAAAGTATTTGTAATAACTATATTAGATATCTATATTATCTATATTACCTATTCTGTAATATTTAATAATTTATTTATTAAATATTACAGAATAGGTAATATAGATAATATAGATATCTAATATAGTTATTACAAATACTTTCATCTCCATAGACCAATAAGGACAAAGATTCTTTAATCCTGATTAGTCAATCAAATACTTTCGAATACTTTTTAATGCCAATATAAATTTAAATTCGTGTTTCCTAGAAAAAGAAACGAGACAGATTCCGCCAATTATCTAGCATCAAATATCAGATGCGCACACATTGGAGAAGTTTGAGTGCCTGCTTGGAGAATCATCTACAAATTACCCCAAGGATAAAGCAGTAAGAAGATATATAGAAACAGCAACTACATTCAATTACTACTAACAGAAGGTCACAGAAAAGCAAAGCTACTAAAGAAGCAGCTTAGGAGAAGGAGCATAGCCTACAATTTGGAATAACAAGCAAAGTAGGTAATTTTACAAACTTGCATCTCACCAATATCTGGAACTTATAGTTCTGAATCAATTGCAATTTAAAATAAAAATGAAACTTTCTAACATATTATTTTAAAACGTAATGAAATCTAAAATTTTATTGTTTTTATTTTAAAAACAGTCACATATTTATTTTCTCTCTATAAAAAATGTTTATAAAAATAAAGCAAAACTATACACGTATTAGATATATTTGTATTATTGTATATATATTTCAGGTGTTGCTGTTATTATTAGTTGAGAACTCCCAAGACGAAATTAATGGTGTTCAACTTGGCTCAGCGTCCAATAACATCGTCAAGAAATAAAAAACGTTTCCGTTATTCAATAATTAGATATATCACCGTTAAGGCCTGAAAAACTCAATCAATCAGATGTCGCAGATGAACTGACAGAACATCTTTTTTTTCGCTATTAAACAATAATGCGTTACTTCACGCGTATTTAAGCGGCGGAAAAATTGATGCTATTTATTGCAGAATTATAATGGCTTTAATATAATCAACATATATAGTTAATTTAAAATCTTGATACTACAGTCATTTGTCATGTTTAAATTTTTAATCTCTTTTCAAATATAATAATTATAGACAAATATATGTATATCTACAGACAGTATATTTATATTTATATAGATAATATATTTATATTTGTCTATAATTATTATATTTGAAAAAAGATTAAAAATCTAAACATGTTACAAATAATTCTAAGGCTCAAAATTTTAAATTAACTATGTTGATTATATTAAGATGCATACAGATTTGCAACAGAACATCGTAACGTAACGCCGTTGCGTGACATCGACGCAATGTATGGACAGTACCTCGCACCGAACATTTAAGCGTTACGGGGTATTGTCCATGCATTTCGTCGGTGTTACGCGATGGTGTTACGTTACGATGTTCTGTTGTAAGTCTGTACGCACCTTTAAGGTCATTATATAATTCTGCAATAGATGGTGTCAATCTTCCCGCCGTCTAAATACGCGTGAAGCAAAGCACAATTGTCTAAGACTGATATTACATTCATACTACAAAATGATGGTGGTCGGACGTAACGATTGAATATTAGATAAAAACTTTAGAAATTCTCTATTCGTTAACCAATTGCTACGTTCGACAAACTCGTCGTACGATATATGTAATATCATTATAATAGCAAAAGAAAAGGTAGCTTCGGTCAGTTCCTTTCGTGACGCCGATTGATCGAGTTTTTCAGGATTGATCAGTGATATATATACTAATTAAATAGCGGTCTATATATACATATAAAACGCTTATGTCTTTATATATATGATTATAAATTATAGATATCCGATTTTTTTAAAATAAAAATATGAAGATAAATATATGGATATAAATATAAAACATTTTTGATAATAGAAACTTTAAAAAAATTGCTTAAGTATTATCCCTCTATTTAGAGAGATTAATATATAGTATTAATTAAATTTGATATAATCAAATATATAAGCAAATTTGTAGCAAAAATAGAGCAAAGGTTTTAACAGTGCGGATTGTAATTAATAATAAAATAATGAGGTCATTAAAAGGACTTTAATAGCATTAATTAAATTTTATATAAATAAATAAATATAAAAATAATTAAAATTCTATATATTTTTTATTAATATTAATAATAATAATAAAATATTTAAAAATTTAATTATTTTTATCTATTTATATAAAATTTAATATACTATTAATTAAAATCTTTTTAATGAGCTCATTAATTCATTAAATTATTATATTAATTACAATCCACACTGTTACGACAACCTTTGCTTTGTTCTTGCTATAATTTGCTATTAAAGTCATGCACAGCAAGGTTTGCTTTGTTATTTGCGTGAATTTTGCGTATCATCGTGTCAGAGCAAACTTTGCCCTGTTCTTGCCACAAATTTGCTATCACATCGTGCACGGCAAAGTTTGCTTTGTTATTCGCGTGAATTTTGCGTCTCATTGTGTTAGAGCAAACATTGCTCTGTTCTTGCCACAAATTTGCTATCACATTGTGCACGGCAAGGTTTGCTTTGTTATTTGCGTGAATTTTGCGTCTTATAGTGCCAGATCAAACCTTGCCCTATTCTTGCCACAAATTTGCTATCATGACGCGCACGGCAAAGGTTACTCTGTTATTTACGTGAATTTTGCGTCACGCTGTTGTGACAAACCTTGCCAACAAAAGCTCAGCTTAATGCGAACACACCTTGTCGCAATTTTGCTACAAAGGCCTGCTCGAGTTTGCCGCAATCTTTGTGCAAAGTTTGTATCATTTTGCTAGCTGGGTTATTGGCGACAAACGCGCATAAACGCAAGTATGATGCGCAGAGTCAATTGCGGAGTAACAAGGAGCACAAGTACAAAGATATAATCGCACCGTTAATGCAGATTGAACCGAAACAGCTAAAATCTGGCAGGGGAATGCCTCGCGCTATGACGCTAACCGATAATAAGATTGATTACGCACACTGAAACGACCCTAACGAGCTAGTGGATCGCCTACGATTGCTCGACGCTTTGCGCCAAGCCGGCAACAACGCGCACGACAACGAGATCCTGTCGATAATCGAGGAATTTTGGGAAGCGGGCATTAGTCGCAGTGAAATAACAAATACAAAACAATATTTAACGACTCAATATTTAAACGATTATGATTTGTAACTTTATTTTATAACTGAAGATGGTTTAAAATAAACCGAAACGTTTTATTTCTTATTTTACTTGACATATTAGTTAATTATTTTTATAGCATGACTTTCTTGCTACGGCTCTTTGTCCTCTTTTTGTATTTTAATTTTATCGAATAGAGCCTTTATTTTTTATTTTATACAAAAAAATTCTTTATAATTTAAATTACAATTTGAGTGCGCGAGACCTCTGTACCGTCCGATGAGATGGCAATGATCGCGAACACGTGTATCGTCTTCCTCAAATGGGCGTTCGCATATATGACAATGCGTCGCGCTGCGAAATTTTACCCACTCGTCAGATGTTAAATTTACCATAGAGATATTTGTCGTTAAAATGTTTTTTACGCGTATTGCTA